AGGATTCAGTCGACAGCAGCACAGAATCGCAACTACAAAGCATTTTGCAACATCGAAACAGGGTCCTTATGGACAATTCAGTAGACAGCAGCACAGTCCCGACGTCCATCACATCATCGAAAACACAGTCCACCCCGGACATGGACAAAAGAGACGATGACTCGAGGAGGAAGAAGCAGATGATGAAGAAGCGGAAGCGGAGGGAGCAGTAGAAGAAGAAGAAGAAGGGGACGAAGAACGTTTCTCTCCCTCTCTCACCCTCTCTCTCTCTCTCTCTCTCTCTCTCTCTCTCTCTCTCTCTCTCTCTCTCTCTCTCATTCGCTGCTGCTACTCGTGGCAGATGACGTGTCGGGCGATGATGATGTGTCACTCGACGACGACGCGTCACTCGACCGCGCTTTCATTTCCTCTGCAGAAGACGCAGCGCTGCTGCTTGCGGACTCATCGTCCTCTTGCACACACTTCCTCCTCTTCGCACTGGCTATCTTCTGAACTTTTTGTGCCTTCCTCTTCTTTGCCTGCCGAACAACAGCACGCTTCTCTTGCAAGGTCGCCGACGGTGTGGCTGTCTTGCGTCCCTTGCCTCGTCTGCCTCGGCTCGACGGTTCCGCTGTCTCCTTTGGCTTGTTCTTCCCTACTTTCTTTCTGCCCACCAAACTCTTCACTTGGCGCACCAAGCTCACGTTGATTTCGGGCGGCGACGATGGCTCATGTTCTGCAGCTGCATCTTGTAGGCGGTCAAGTCCAGCAGCTCGGGCCCTCCTCTTGTACACTATGCCCTGCCATCCTTCCCCGGCCTCCGTGGGAATATCCTTGCTCAACAGCTGATCGGGAGGGATCGGTCCAGTGAATCTGGCCCACTCCGAAGTCTGTCTAGTGACTCTGGCCCAATCAGGAGTCTGTCCCTCGGAATCACTCCTCATGGGGGACATTGCAACCAGGTGTTCCCCGAAGTCTTTCTTGGAGCCTCTTGCAGCAATGGGGGCCACGAGGTGCAATAGGGAGGCGAATCCCTCAGCCAGCGGCAACCCCGGGTCCGGAGTGGAGAACACATCGTCGCCGGTACACTGGGTGCCCTCCGCTGGTTCCAAGGACCGGGTGGTCCTTGTCCGCACCCATGTCTCCATCCTCACGTTCAGCAGCGCCGGGAACCGGAACGTCCGTAGACACACCAAAGTTTTGAACATCCCCCGCAGCAGCATTGTCCCGGTCAACATCCGCCGATCCCCCGTCTGTCGCCCCCCACCCTGTGGGTGGTTCCTCGACCGCAGGTCGCCGGTGAGGAGTGTGTTGCGCACCCAAGACTGTGCTGGTGCCATGAACTGAAGCCACACCACCGGCTGCGCAGTCGTGTACGGGCACCAGTGTCGCCCATCAATAACACCGTAGCAACCGCCGAAGGGCCACCGGATGCAGGGCCAGCCAGCGGCGTGATGTCGACATGTGTCGCGAAACATGACCCGCCGCCCGATCGCCTGCCAAACCGCTTGTCTGTGAGCTGCACTTCGAGTAACTCATCATCACCATCGTTGTCGTCTCTGTCGTCCTCCTCCTCATCAACATCAGCAGCGGTCTTCCCGCGGTCGTCATCCGCGAGACGGCAAGGGCGGTAGGAAAGATCAAGGAGCCATGCCCCGTCATCCGCCCTCTCCTCCTGAATCTCCCGCACGTCGAATCTGGTGCTCTTCGATCTGCGCCCTCGAGATTTCGACCAGTTGGCAGCCCTCCTCTTCACCTTTGCGGGGCCGTACTCCCCTTCTCGCATGAAACCGTCGAAACGAGCGTCGTCCTCAGGTGTCTCCCACTCTAGCTGCTCGGTGTTCACGAATCCCATCTTCGCCTTTGACATGCGCAGCAACTTCCTTGTTCCAGTGGATGAAGACGAGCATCTCCAGGTTCTCCGGGCTCAACAGATTCCTCCTCTTCGAGTGAATGAGATCGAACGTGGACCAATTCCTCTCACAAGGAGAGGCTGTCGTCCACATGCTGAGCACTTTGACAGCGATCTTCGTCAAGGTTGGGTGCCTCTTCAAATAAGTCAACCACCACTGCGCCATAGACACGTGACCGCCCGTCAAAGCCTCCTCAGAGTTCTTCCCGAACCACTCTGGGTCCATGTGATGGAAACTCTTAAGGGATTTCCAACACTCTTTGTACTCCTTTGAATTCTTCGGGTGAACCGAAGCAAAGTGTGTCAACGTGTTTGCAATCTCCTCGGAATCCATGTCGTCGAAGAGTCGAGGTGATCGGTGGAGCGGGTGCAACATCCAAGCCGCTGCATGCACAGGCAGAGCCATCATCCGCACATGGTGTTTGACCTTCGCCATCACGAACTCCCTTGTCTCACAATCCATGGGTAGCACGACCATTCTCTTCTCCAGCGTGATGCCCAACGACCACACCTGCATACCCATCCTCCCATCTCTGTCCATGTTCTTCATCAAGGCGAAAACGGGCTCAAGCAAGGTGCATGCCCTCTCCACGGTCAACCACCAAGCAGGGTCTCGTATGAGCTCCTTGCACGACCGCGCCCGTGTCGCTGCTGTCCCGTCCCATGGAGAGTCATCCCACCGCGGGTTGGAAACAGTGTGCAGCAACACGCCCTCACACTCCCGAAGTCGCTGCAGCATGAGGAAGTTTGTGCCAAATCTAGTCTCCCCCGGCTGGATCAACTCCAACGGCCTCCCTTCTTTGATGTTCATCCGTGTCCTGTACTCCCTCCCACTTTTCCAGAACATCGCCAACGCCCGCTGATGTCGCTTGATGAAGGTTGTGATCTCCCTGCCCTGCAGAATCACCTCCCCGACCCATGATACCGAAGCAATGTCAGACATGAGCAAGTTGCACACATGGCATGTGCACGGCACCCACGGAATGCTACTGATCGCAGGGTCCTCGTGCTCAGCCAAGATCTTCCTGGCAGCAATGTTGACCTGTGCTCAGTCGGTGCAGATGGCGTTGACCCTATGCACCCCCAACTCCCTTATGACCTCCTCCCACATCCTCGCCAAAGCCGGAGCCGACTTGTCCTTCCCCTCAATGTCCACACTCTTCACCATGACCGCCCCCGAATCGCCAGCTGCAATGAAGTTCATGACCGGCATGTTGCTGGTCGTTGTTGTGCCATCCGTCATCAAGGTGAGGCTTGTGACATTCCACAGCTCTCGGATGTTGTCCAAATCATTGTCCACCACTTTGTACTCCGCGGGCAGGGCCTTCGTCCTCAAGTAGTTGTACCCCGGCATTCGCAAAATCTTCCTCAACCTCGCTGTCAGGTTCATGATCCTTTCCAAGTTCTTGTACGATTCTGACCGCGCGGCATTGAAGGCGATGACATTCTCAAAGAAGAACGAAGCAACCCCCTGGTCGAACTCCTTCTGCAGCTCATCCACTATGTAACTGGTCATGGACGACTGTTGCGCACTCGATGGAGGTCGCGGAGGGCGAGCGGCAGCCAGAACGGGACCCCGCAGGTGCTCAGCAATCTCCGATGGGAGGTCAGGCCCCCTGGAATCCAAAGCGGCTGCATAGGCTACAAAATCTGCCCTCTCCCGTCGTTGAATAGATGTCGAATCATAACCGACACCACCGCCTTGCCCCCCTGTTGAACCTGTGTCACGGCCACCGTCTCCCACTGCCGACGACGTGCCGGGGTCCCCCGATGCACCAGCTCCATCACCCGATGCAAGATCCTGCGGATCCTCAACATCTGTCGGACGGCCCTGTAAGTCATACTTGTTCAATTTCGCCACCAGCGCAGGGAGCAATTTCACCTTCGGGTGCTTGCTTCGAATCACATAAAGAATCTCGCCGGTGGTACGGGGACAGCGGGCATTGGCCGACGTTTGGGTGTGGTGATTCACGACTTTGCTGAGCGTGCCAACGAACTCTTTGTTGCACAGACTGCAACGCAACCTCCACGAGTTGTGCGACGTGCCGGCCGTCACCTTCTGCCCTCTCTCCGCCCATTTCCAAAGCTCCGACTGGTTAAGCGTCCGTTCTCTCTCAGCACCTGTCTCAGGCTCGAATGGTACTCGATTGCCCGCCATGGTGGTCGCAGTGGAGGTCCGAAAAAAAAAAAAAAACGGAGGTGGGTGATGGTAGGAGGAAGAAGAAGAAGAGAAAGAAGAAGGAGAGAAGATGGAGATGAAGAAGAAGAAGAAGAAGAAGAAGAAGAAGAAGTGGAGGAAGAAGAAGAAGAAGGAGAGAAGATGGAAATGAAGAAGAAGAAGAGGAAGAAAAAGAAGAGGAAGAAGAAGAAGAAGAGGAGGAAGAAGAAGAAGGGGTGGGAGGTGTGTCCCCGCTGCCCGACGAATTTCAAAAAAAAAACAAAAAAAAACGGAGGTGGGTGATGGTAGGAGGAAGAAGAAAAAGAAGAAGAAGAAGAAGAAGAAGAAGAAGAAGAAGAAGAAGAGGAGGAGGAAGAAGAAGAAGAAGGAGGGAAGAAGAGGAGGAGGAAGAAGAAGAAGAGGAAGAAGAAG